CCGGTTTGTCTCCAAACCAAATTTGACAAGGGATGACGGAAATTCGTCCCATAATACATCAGACGCTAATTTACTCAAAATTGATACACCCCGGCTTACCATCTAGCGGTAGCTTTCGGAAAGGTGAAAAAACATATATTTAATACTTGCGCCGGGTATTTAATGTTCGGCTCCACCCGAACTTAGACTTTCTAACTTGTTATTTTTCATTTTGCTTTAAACTATGCTACACGCCTGCCTCCGCAAGCATCCCCTCTGCCAATTGCTTATTATATTTCTGTTCCTTTTTCGTTCTTATTTTTTCATTTTGCTTTGAACTATGGTAAATTTGCTCGAAGTGTGGTGGCACGGAAAAATTTTTGGTATGGTGGCAGCCGACACTTCTCTGCCGACACCGTCGGTCGAGTGGTGCATTTCGTCGACGATTGGTGTATTTGCTCCACCGCACCTCAAAATTTCTGCGGAACAAAAACGGTCACTGGAAATGCGCCTTCTCATTTATAAACGTTCTCTGGTAACACTGTTTCACCTAAGGCAGTCAATATGGCGGAATTACAGCGAGAAGCTGCCAGCCGCCAACACCTTGTATTATTGCATCATGGTGATAACCAGACATTAAGGGCCGGTTGTTCACATGAACCAAAAAGACAAGATCACGACAGCAGAAGAGTGGCCCGTTATAATCGCACTTATGAAAAAAGTAGGGCGATTTTGACATAAGCCGTTTGTTTACATTTGTTCGTTGGTTGTTTACAATTTGGTGGTGGCTTTTTACTGCAATTTTCTTAATTTTCGCTTGTGACAACGTGTGCACACATAAGGTAAAGAATAATTTAACACAACGACATGATTTATAGGAGAATTTGCATAATAAAAATGATTATTCATGCGTTCAACAATTACGCGTTTTTTTTTTGTTCTCTTCGTTGTTTACTTCTTACAACAAAGATGGCGTCGAGATTTCAACAGCTAGAAAATAACTTTTTTCTTTCTTTCCTTAAGGCGTGATCTTGTGTCTTTCGTTCATGGGTTGTTCAATCTCTGGTTATCACTACTTGCCAGTTAAACATCATTATCGACGTTTTCGACATCATTCATATAACATCGATAAAGCAGTCGTTGTGTTTAACCGGACCTTCTACCTCCGATTAGTGCTAATCAGACATTGGACAACCGGACCTGAAACTCTCAACAATCCATGCCAATCTATAAAACCTCTTTTCGAACCATGTTTGATTTTGAAAAGTCAAGCTGTTAATAGAAAACCATAACAGAAAACAGGGCTCGAGTCGTCATATACGATATCGTATTACTCCTCACGTAAAAGCACATTTTTTGGATTATAACATATGTACGTGAACGTGCTCTTTACCCCATTCTGGGCTCGAATCGTCACATACGATAGCGTACCACCCGTCACGTAAAAACACATTTTTCGGATTATAACTTACGTGAACGTACTCTTGTCCCATTCAGCTTATACTGCCTGACGTATCAGTATCAGAGCCCAGGGCTCGAATCGTAACATCCGTTCACGGATAGAAAACGATACGAAAGAAAATTACGTTTTACGTCCGTCAGTATATGCTGAATGGGACAAAGGGTACGATCACGTATGTCATAATCCGAAAAATGTATTTTTACATGACGAGTAGTACGATATCGTATGTGACGATTCGAGCCCAGCTTATACGACTGACGGTATCACGTAATTTTCTTTCGTATGGTTTTCGATCCATGAACAGATGTTATGATTCGAGCCCTGCATCAAGAATATAACGTTTTTTTTTTATAAAAACAATGAAGGGTTCAGGAACTATAAGAAAACCTACCCACGTACATACCTTTATTTCGGGTGTATTGCGCCATTTTTTTGTTGTTATTGTTGTAGCAGCATACAATTTCCCCAATGAGTTTTTGGGGAGTGTTGCTGGAGTGACAATATAAATCTGGGTCGTTCGGGTTACGTAGACCCGACTGTCGTGGGAACGATTTTTTTTTTGGCGCACTGCATAATTTAGGTCAAACTGCGTTTAACGAAATCGGATCTGGTATTGTTTTGCATAAATATATTGAGGAATATAAGGAGTATGATATATATGTATTTGTATTTTCTAAATACTACTTTTAATAGCTAATATTTATGAATAACGCATGTTTCCGTAATTTCCGCCAGTTGGACGACGCATGCGACGCGCCCGTTGTGAACGCTGGTTTGGAAAACCGCGAAGTGGGCTACCGGGAGGCTCTTGTCCACGATGATTAGGAGATACATTGCGCGAGTGTCCAGCGCCGTCTGAAATTAAAAACATGCGAGTTCATATACATATATTAACTGAGTGTCTCCGCCCGCGGATAATTTGTTTTACCTTGCCAAATTATGGGCGTTGGTCTCCCGCCGCGATGAAATCCACGATGGGGTCTCCGTACATTACCCGTGCTCTTTATAGCCTTAGAACGTGTCGTTATAGATGGTGAAGTGGAGGCTTCAGCTTCACGTCCTTCTTCCTTTGTGTTTCAAACAAAAAAAAATATATATATATAAAAATGAGTTAGCTATATATTTAAATTATTTGCAACTTTCTGTACTCACTTCTATTTCCTCCACGGCTTGTTTTTCACCTTCCGATGAAACACCATCTGCGCCTTCATTATCCTCAGATGTTGCTTCTACTTGGTTTTGCTGAATATCTTGTATTTCAGATTGCGTAGCTCCACTGCTATTATGACCTAATAAAGCAGTATTATAAAAAATGACAATTACAGTTAAGAATTGGGTGAAATAAGACTTCTTTACACTCACTTTCGCTGTCTGCATTTTCAGAAACTTCTATAGCAGCAGCATCCTCTGCAAAATCTTCCTCAACATTATCCATATCCTCTTCTGCGGCCAGCACAGCGTCGCTTGATCCACCACTTTTTGAAGCAACAGGGACGTTCTCATCGCTACGGTCACCCACAAGCTCTTCACCTTCGGCTCCATTTTCTTCAGTCGCCTCATTTGTAGTCATTTTACTCTCATGTTGTTCGGAGTGTGTTCCTGTCTCACTTATTCCAAATTTCGAACCTTGTGGTGAACTCACCAGTTCTGCACCACTACTTTTAGAAAATATAAACTTATATTTATGACTAAAAATAAAAAATTTTTGTTTTCAAATCCTTACCTATCTGATGGGCGACTTCCGCTGGGATCTTGCTCTCCACTTTCACTTACATTACCGGTCAAACCTTGATGCTGCAACATGGCCGTAGGTTTCTGGGGTCGAGTCTGTTTCCATTGTTGAGTTGCCGGTTGGGTTGCATTCGGGTTGGACTCATAACTACCGCTACTGATAGTTTGGCTCTGCTGATGACTATCCATATCATGACTATGTGCCATTGATGCCGCTGCTGCGTGACTTGTACTAGCTCCTGTGTTATAATGTACATCTGACTGGTTGTCTGTACCCGACGTACAATGAGCCTGGTTTTCAGTTCCTTCGTCGACATCCACTTCATTGTTATCGATTTCTGCATCTACACCTATGTTACTTTCATTTACTTCTGGAATATCATTCTCATCCATGTCTTGATCCTGCTCATAAGAGTCCTCGTAACCTTCATGCTCAGCATCGCCGTCGGTTGGGCCGTCATCAGCTTCAATCATACCGTCGTCTTCTTCTTCGGAATCCACCACAACTATATCATCTTCTTGATCGCGTTGAGATGAAGTTGGTACTTGGTACTCAACATCGATTCCGGATTCAGTTACACCCAGCATAGCTGGCTCAGAGCCACGCAGGCGCTTTGGATGTTTAAGAGCTTTATCGGCAGTACTGTCTTCAACATTTGTTGATGAGTCACCTTCTAGTTCACGAGGCCTTTTATGTCCACCCGACGTTCCGGCCTGTGATGTGGTAACGTTGCTGCTTGAAGGTGTGTGGCGGCTGTGGCTACTAACAGCGATGTGCGTGCTCGAACTGGTGGTGCCTGAAGTGCTTGGTTGCTGATTTCCAGGATCTTGTTGAAGCTGCAAATTCGGGGAAGGAACATTTTGTGAAGAGCCTTCAACGCGTGGTGAAACCAGAGCCACCACCTGTGGTTGTCCGCCACCAACAAGCAATTGTGATTCGTTTTGTTGCGGCTGCTGGACGCTCTCGGCTTCTTGAGAGCTTTCGGCCGCAGATGTAGAGCCCATAGGGGGAATTGCAGCAACTGCTACAGATGCCGAGCTACTAGTAGAAGGCATGTAATCTGTGTGCGATGAAGTTGGCGATGATGACATTGATTCAATGGAACTGCTGCCAGTAGTATGTACTTGTTGTTGCGGTGGAACTAAAGCAGTATTGCTGCACCCGGTTGAAACGGTTGTGGTACTTGACGATGAAGTGGACGTCGATGTCGATGAGCCGCCAGCTGCGGGCTGCTGGCTTGTAGGGAGTATAGCAGCGGTCCGACTATTCTGGACCGATATTGGGCGAATACTGGCCAAAGGAGTTTCACTACCGCGCCATGGTGTTACTGTGGCCGACTGTTGCACAGTGGTTGAGCCCGACATCGGCTTGACATTTGCGGTTCTAGGTGAAGATTCCGAAATAGATCCCTTATCTGTAATTGCCACTGAACTAGTGGATGGCTTGGCAGATTGTTGGCCAAGTTGACGATTTAGTTGATTAATACGCATAAGCAAGGATTCATTTTCCCTGCTAAGTCTGACGATGGCTTCTTTGTTTTGATTATTTTGTTCAAGTAATTCTTTTTCAAGTCGGGACAATGTTTCTTCATATTGAGTCTTTATGCTATTGATCGTTGCGTCTGCATTCTCTGAAGTTTGAAGTACGTTTTGCAACTTACTCTTGGTTGTATTCAACTCTTGACTGATCGCATTCTTCGACTCAGTCAAACTGACAATACGCGCTTTAGCTTCACGTAATAATGTCTTGGTGCGATCATCTATTTCTACGGCGGTTTTTAAGTCATCATAGTCCTTGCGAAGTTTTTCACTTTCTTCTTGCATAGTACGTATGACCCCATTGAGATTCTCAATTGTATTGCGTTGCTGTTCCAACTCATTAGTTACAGCGGTTGCGGCTGCCGCGGTTCCCACAGCACTTTCTGCTCCGCTGTTACCACCAAGATCCATGTTGTCCTGCGCCGTGGCTGCACCATCTGTTGAAGCAGCCGCAGTTTTATTTGATAACTCCAAGTAGGAGTCCTTATATCGCTTAGCAATTTTACGAATCTGGAATTCTTTATTTTTAGAGTCTTGCAATTGAGCCTCTTTAGATTCCATTTCTTCGGTCAGTTTTTGTAGAGACTCTTCCTTTTGCAATAACTTATTTCTGAGTTCCATAATCTCCTGCAACATACGCACATTATTTTGACGCACTCCAGCGTAGTCATCGCTTACTTTCTTCTTTTCTTCGGTTAGTGTTTGGATCTGCTTCTCAAGCGATGCTATCTCGGTTTCGCGTTGAAGTTTTTCGGTCTTAATGGCGTTTAATTCATCGGTGGTCTGTTTCATCAGCTCCTTCTCATGCGTTAACATCTTAGCAAGATTTTCGCGTTCTGTTTGTAAACGCTTGAACTCCTCCGGATTCTTATTACTCTTTTCAACCAATACATTGGCACGTTGGCGCCACTTAATTGCTTCCGTTCGTAAAGATGTGTTTTCAGATGTAAGCTCTTCGATTTTAGTGGAGAGCTCGCGATTTTGGTTCTGCAAAGGCAATAAATCATTTTCAATAGCGTTAATATGTTCGTTGAGCTCTTTTACACGTGCGGCTAAAGAGTTACGCTCCTCGCGCAATATTCTGTTGCTATCGGTAATGGCATTTAGATTTTCGATCTTGCGTAGAATTTCCTCATGTTTTGTGGCAGAAACCACCAATGTCTCAGATTTGGCGCGCTCCTGGTTAAGACTTCCCTTTAATTCGTCGAGTTTCTTTTGTAGAATCATATTCTCTGACTGCAAACGAGCGTTTTCAGCTTTCAATATGTCTAGCTTAGCGTCGATAAGATCCTTCTCTTTGCGTAAATATTTAATTATTTGCAATAATTGATCATTGTTCTTGGGATCATCTTCTAATCGCGACCGATTCAATTCCGTACCAGAGGTATCCATAGCTGTTTCATTCAAAGAGTTTGATGATACATTTGTTGGTTGAGTTTGACTAAGTATGCTTAGCTTCATGGTCAATGCTTCGATTTGATCGTGCAAACTCGAATTGAGACCGTTCAGATCAACTATCCGCTTTTCCATTTCGTCCTTTTCATTTTGAAGTAAACGCAGTGATTCATCATGCGAGCCCTTCAGCTCCTCATATAGATCCTTAGCGCAGTCCCTTGCCGTAATTAAGGCATTCATTTGGTCTTGTATTTTCGTCATTTCTTCCTTTACTCTTGTGAGTTCTTGTATATCAGCTGAATGTAGTACCATTTCATTGGCATATTTTCCCTGTACTGCATTAAGCGATTCCGAAAGCGATGTATTTTCAGTTCGTAGCGCACGCAGGTTGCGATTACACTCGCTTAATTTCTGCAGAACATCTTTTAGCTCTTCTTTGGATTTTTTCAGTTGATCGGATTGATTTGAATTCGGTACTTCGGTCATAGACGCGAGCTGCACTTCTGCTTCCAGTTCGCTGATTCTTGACTTAAGGTTCAATTCAATTGATTTTAGTTCGTTAATTTGAGACTCTGTTTTTTCTGTGTATGTAGTGTGGACTTCATGAAGACTTTTAATTTCTGCTTCAGCACTCTGTGACATCTTAAAGTATTGATCGGAATGCTCACGCGCCTTTGCCAATTCATTTGATAATGAATTAATTTCAATTTTGGCTTCTTCGAGTTTAACTTCAAATTCACGTGTTTTCTTATTTGCCAAAGCAATTGGGTTGTCATTTTTGGAAGGTGTTAAACTTTCTTGTAGCTTTTTGCTGAGTTCGTCGATTTGATTTGTCTTATTAGTGAGCTCCTCGCGCAACGCCTGTAATTCTTTTCGAAGTTTTTCAGACTGACCTCTTTCTTCTTCCATGCACTTCTTTGCAGATTCTGCCTGCCGCTTAAGGTCACTAGTTGTTTCTCGGAACCGATCTTCTTCCTCCTGGAAACGTCGACGCTGAGCAGACAATTCACGAACAGTTTCGTCTAGCCTCTGTTCCAAGCGTGCTCGTCCTTCCATTTCAGAACGCTCCAAATTGGATTTGATCATTTCCAAGTTATTTAAAAGTAGATTTTGATTTTGTTGGTCCCGGTGATAACCTTCTTTTTCGGCTTGTAAACGGTTCACTGTATCTTTTAAGATACGATTCTCACTCCGCAGGTGAGAAGCTTCACTCTGGGCAGCTGAATGACCATGCTGTGCTTTCATGACCTCGTCTTTTAGGAAGTGCACTGTCTGTTCATGCTTTATAATGGTATTTTCATAATTTTTACTACGATCTTCAAGCGCAGTTATTTGTTGCTTATAGGTCGAAATATTTTTTTGCTGTAATTTAAGTTGCTCTTTGTTGTATTCCAGCGACGACATTAGTTTGCAATTTGTTGATGTTAACTCTCTAACCTCTGTGCGCATTGAATCAAATTGTTCATTCATTATACGTTCATTATTCTTTTTCTCTTGTGTATAATATTCATATTGCTCCTTTAATGTTTTATATTGGTCCTTCACTTCCTGTAACTGCTGCTCTAAGTCTCGTATGCGACGTTCCGCGTTCGCATCCATGGACTTTCTATTTTTACTTTGAGATATGTTTGTCATATTTTTATTTTCAGTATCATCAATTTCCCCCATTTCAGTGTCTTCGATATCACTCAGTTCTGAATGCGCTCCAGACTTTTGTAAGTTTTTCTGGAGTTCGAAATACATTTTTTTGTAACGCTCACATTTCGATACCAAAGTGGCAACGGTATTATTTTGTTGATTCAGTGTTTCTTGCATCGATTGGAATTTCTTGGCGTAATTCTCAATTTTTTCTTGATATGCTGCGGCATCCATTTGCTGTTTCAAGGTCTCAGCATCTTCCAACTTCGTGCTGAGGTCTCGAACAAGAAGCAAGAGCTTTTGGTTGTTCTCCTGTAGCTCTACAATGTTAGTAAAGGTCACTAATTTTTTGGATATAACGTCATCAGTTGTTGAGAGATTTCCACTCTGTACCGCGCCCTTGTCCGAAAGGAGTCCGATTCGCAATTGCTCTACCTCCTTTAGTAAATAACAAACCTGTCGGCTAAGGTCGTTCTGTGAGTTCTTTAGTTTTTTATTTTCTCTTTCTAAATGGTTAATTTTGGAATGTGCGTTGCCCATTAATTCTTCCATATCTACCTTCTTGCTTAGTAATTCATCGCGCTGATGCGCCAAAATGTTATTGGTTTCTATCAGTTTCTCATATTCAAGCTCTTGCTTTTTAATCACTGGTGCGTTTTCGCTCAATTCTTGCAATATTGTCTTAAACTGAAGATTAAGACGCGCGTTTTCCCGCTTTTGTAGGTCAAGTTCCTCGGAACTCTTCACATATAATGAATATAATTCAGTAAGGGACATATCCGTTCGGATAAGGCGACTAGCAATCGCAGCAGATGGAGCAATTTTTGATATAGCACTCTCCATTGTTTCATTTTGCACCTCCTTTAACAAATCATTGGCATGTTTCAGTTCTGATTTTTGTGACTCTATCACTTTACCGCGTTCTTCGAGTTCTTGTTCGTGTTGAAGAAGTGTAGCTTTGAATTTCGTTTCTAGTTCTCCATACTGCTCACTTGCTTCAGCCAACATACGTTTAAGATCAGTTATAGCAGTACTTAATTCATTTCTCTCTACATCAGTGTCTTCACAATTGCTTTTGTATAATTCAGCCAATTTTGTTTTCGCTTCTAGTTCTTTTTTATAAAAGTCCATCATTTTGTTAGCTTCTTCATTTTGGTTTAAAAGTTTGGTGGATAGATCTTGAATATTTTGTGTAAGCCTATCAATTGTCTCCTTATATTGGGTGCATTGAGTTTGAACTATTTTCAGTTCCTCTGTTTTTTCAGCAAGCCTGGCTTCAAGGTGCATACCCTGCATTGTGTTATCACGTCTTATGCTCTGAAGTTCTGCTATATTACGATTTAAATCATCAGTAAGTGTGCGTATCTGATTATGAAGCATTGTTCGTTCCTGTTCCATGCGGCGCTCCTTAAAATCAAGCGCTACCTTCTGACTTTCTATTTCATCGACCCTTGCAATAGCTTCACATTTTGAAGTAATAGCGTTTTTCAGTTGTTGTTGATAGGAGTGGATTTCTTCTTGTAATCTATCCAGCTCACTCTTTTGGCGTTCGATTAACTTCAACAAGGAGTCTCTTTCTTCTGCCACGGAATTTCGTTCAGATCGAAGTGCAACCATATCCATTTCATGATTTCTGCACTGTTCCAGTAATTGTACACGTTCACTAGAAACACTGTCCAACTGAGAGCGTAGCTCCTCAACATTTTTATTCTGGCTCTCCAATTTAAGCTCATAGTCCTGAACTGTTGCCTGGAGCTCCTCTAATTTTTGTTCATAGTCGTCTATCAAAAAGTTTATATAACAAAATATTAAAAATAAACATAAATACTATAGTGGGAATGGGTTAGTTATTTGTACAATGATACAATCTAAAAACTATAACACACACAAGTTACAGGATTACACTTTAAAACAAATACTTCAAATTTCCGAGCACTATTTTATTAATAAATTCGGTAAGAAATGTGTCCTTTTTTGTAAATTTCAATGCGAGTTCAGCTCAAAAATAACCACTTTATAAGTACAAGAAATATTGTATATCTTTGACAATAGAAAAGGGGCTTCCGCCACATAGATAGGCGAATTCTACGTAGTAAGGTTTATACTCCGAAAGCGCGACCGAAAAATGGTTACGCAGAAAGTTCTGTGCAATAATGCTGCAGTCAGCGTAGCCAGAGTTGGATTGATGAGGGTTATTTTTTCTAAATGTGCTCAAAACTACTGTACAGCGCATAACCCCTGTAGACGGCTGAGAGGGGAAGGATGACTTTTCTCAATGCTTGTACTGTGCTCTTTCTAATCATTGTACAAATAACTAAACATTTCCCTCTAAAGTTAATACATCTGTGCACTTGTTACATTCGCAAAAAAATACAAATGTACATACATGTGTACATGTAATGCAGAATTCGCACTTTAGCAAAAATTCAAAGGACGCCATTTATTTGAGGTTAGATTTTTACACGAATAAATACATATTTCGGCATTTTTACATAAAATGTTTGGAATAGATAATTTCTACTATATATTACTTACGAAGTCGATTAGCAGCAGCCTTATTTTTGCAGTACTCATCAAAAAAACTCTTCTATCCAAGTTTTCAATTTCTCTTGCACCCCAGGCGGCGTCTGCTCCAACTCTTCGCTAGACAAGATGTTTGAAATTAACTGCGGACCATCGAGATCCATTCTGATGATTTACCAACTTTCACAAAAACACACCAAATTAAATGTAATTTAATATTTAATAGTCCACTATATTTATGAAGCAAGCGCTGAAAATCCAGTGATATATCCAGCGGCAAAATCTTAACGTTGTACGCAAAAAATGAGAAAATGAATATTCACAATGAAGTGCCAGAATTGCCGACAACAAAAATTTTTGCTAAGCCAGTGTTGCAAAATTCTACAATACTCTCAACCAGTGCTGCCGCAGCACTTCAATTGAAGTTTCACACTCCATTTCAGAAACCTTCACTTGGTCACTTCATTTTGCTTAGTTTACTTCACATTCCACAAATTAGATTTATCTACAAAAAAAAAATTTCTTTGAAATATGTAATTCATTTTTTTTTACTTTAGTGTACATCGACATGTGTGTGTTTTAGCAAAACTATTGCTGTATTTTTTTGTAAGCGAGCGAAAAAAAAACGCTCAACTCGGGTAAAATTTCCTTTTAGCTACTTAAGCTAAACCCTGCTGGTAGCTGGCAAGAAACATGTGATTAGTTTAACGGGATTAAGTCACAAAAAATAATAGAAATTTGCGAGGTATTTGTGTAATATATATACTTATTTAAAATATAAATCATGTATATACGAAAACAAAAGTTTCCCTCTCAAATTTCCCAGTAAAAATTCACAATAGAACAGTTTTTTCCCTTAACAACACTACTCTTCAGGTCGCGTATTTTTTAACCGACCTGTCTTAAGGCCTGTATGCAGCTCTCAAGAAAAGCGAAAATCCCATATAAAATGACGTACCAGAAATGGCTAAAAAATTTTCTTGAGTCAAATTTTCTTATACAGCGTTTTTGCTGCATTTAAAATGCAACATTTAGCACTTTCGAACATATTGTTACGATTATCCTCGAAACCTTGAGGGATTTCCCAAATAGACTCGGGCTCGTATCGCTGGATTGTTAAATAAAGGCTAACGATGACCGAATTGTAGTACAATTAACTTTATTGTACAACAAACAATTTACAATACTTGCTAATACAGTAAAAACACTTTACAATACTTGTTAAAGCTATAACAACGCTTTACTACTTGTTAACACAATTAAACTTATAGCTTGCTTATTCGCAACTCGATTCTCCGCTAACTTTACTTGTAGCTTGCTGACTTGTAACTAACTCTCCTCGTGGTGGCGGCGCCCTTATATACCTGCGCTGGCACTTATGGCAACTCTAGAACATTCTGAAGTTTATCGCTCATTCTCTTTCGCTCGCTGTTCGCAGTGTTCATCCAACTTGACGTTTCTCTTTGTGGAACATTCTACGTCATTCTTCGAACATTCTGCCTATTTCTCGTTGTTCGCTTTGTGTTGCCGCAGTATTCGCCACACTGCCCTCCACCTAAGTCTGATCGTCCCGATCAGACACACTTGCGGTTCCAAACGCTGCAAGCCTTTCCAAGTGGACCACCTTCATCTTGTTTCTTGGTCTCCCGACGGTCTGGATCCGATACACTACGTCATTTAGCCGTTTTACGACCTTATACGGACCTTCCCAGTTGCATTGTAGTTTTGGGGACAAACCTTTCTTTCGTTGTGGATTGTACAGCAACACCAAATCTCCTTCCTGGAAACCCTCGGAATTCATCGCCTTATCATACCTGGCTTTCATCTTGTCACTCATAATTTGTGTGCGCTGTCTCACAAGAGCATGTATCTCTCTCAGCTCCTCTTCCAGGATGTTTGACGTCTCTTTTCCAATCCTTCTAGCATCACCAGTTACCCCAAACTTCAGATTACTAGGCAAACGGAGCTCACTGCCGAATATTACCCTTGCAGGAGTTTTACCCGTTGTTTCATGCACTGCTGACCGGTACCCCATCAGGAACAAGGGTATGCGGACATCCCAATCTTTTTGATTCTTGTCCACGACCTTCCGCAAATGCTCTTCCAGGGTTCGGTTAAACCGTTCCACCATGCCGTCTGATTGGGGATGAAGAGCCGTCGTTCGAGTTTTCCGGATACCCAGTATCTGGCACATCTCTTGGAACACTGCCGACTCAAAATTTCTTCCCTGGTCAGAGTGCAGCTCTATAGGTACACCGTATCTCGCAACCCAATTGTAGGTGAATACCTCCGCTACTGTTTTAGCTTCCTGGTTTGGAATCGGGTATACCTCCGGCCATTTGCTAAAGTAGTCCATAACCACAAGGACGTATTTGTTTCCCTGTGCGCTCATAGGAAATGGACCGGCTACATCCATGGCAATCCGCTCGAAAGGTGCACCTGAGTTATATTGCTTCATCTGGCCATGACTTCTGGATTTCGGCCCCTTAGCTGCAATACACTCCGCGCAGTTAGCAATCCACTCTGCGACCGATTGCCGACAACCAACCCAATAGAACCTCTGCTTAACCTTCTCCAGGGTCTTTGTGATTCCCAGGTGCCCTCCACTAGGACCATTGTGGAATTCCTTGAGTACATCCGGAATTCTTACCCTTGGAACTACTATCAGGTTGCGGGAGCACTGGCCATCTTCGCTTTCCCATACCCTATGCAAACAGCCAGATATTAATTTTAAGCTGTTCCATTGTGCCCAGTACGCCTTTGCGATGGGGCTTTCCGCTGCCATTTGCTCCTTAGTTGGCCTCCTGTCCACCTCCAGTCCATGCATCAAAAGCTCTAGATCTGGATCTTCCTGCTGACACTTTCGTAGCTGTTCTTCCTTCCACTCTTCCGCTGGTGTTATTGTCGTTAGACGGACGTCTATAATGTCCTCTTTTCCCTCAGCTTTTGAGCAGTGTTTACATTCCAGGCTACATGGTCGGCGGGACATGGCATCAGCATTACCGTGGACACTTCCCTTGCGGTGTTCAATAGCGAAGTCATAACTTTGCAGTCTCTCAATCCACCGAGCTAGCTGTCCTTCTGGATTCTTAAACTGTAGTAGCCACTTCAGCGCTGCATGGTCCGTTCGAACTCGGAAACGTTGCCCATAGAGGTACTTGTGGAAATGTTTGACGCAGTCCACCAACGCTAGTAGTTCTCTCCGAGTTACGCAGTAGTTCCTCTCTGGTTTTCCAATCGACCGGCTATAGTAGGCAACTACCTTCTCCTGCCCATCAATTACCTGCGACAGTACGCCTCCTATGGCATAACCACTAGCATCCGTATCCAAAATAAACGTTGCACCTGGAACGGGATACGCTAGCATAGGTGCAGTACATAGTCGTTCCTTCAGAGTGTGGAAAGCCTCCTCCTGCTCCTTGTTCCACTCGAAGGCTCTATTTTTCCTAGTGAGCTCGTGGAGGCTTTTAGCAACGCTGGCGAAATTCGGAACAAATCGGCGGTAGTAGGTGCATAGCCCAAGAAAACTTCGTAGTTCGTGCAGGTTCCTAGGTCTTGGCCAATCCTTTACTGCTTCTATCTTTTCCTTCGCAGTACAGATGCCCTCCGTTGTCACCTTGTGCCCTAAGTAGTTCACCTCCTTCCTGAACAGTGAGCATTTTTTAGGACTTAGCTTCAGACCAGCGCCAGCTATCCTCTGGAAAACTTCTTCCAAATTGTTCAGGTGTTCCTCAAAGCTTTTACCCAATACGATAATGTCGTCTAGATACACCAAACATGTTTTCCAATGCAGTCCTTTGAGCACATGGTCCATAAGTCGTTCAAAAGTGGCAGGAGCGTTGCATAATCCAAAGGGCATCACCGTGAATTGCCACAGACCGTCTCCAACGCTGAAAGCTGTCTTCTCCTTGTCCTCGTCACTTACCTCCACCTGCCAATAACCGCTCTTAAGGTCGAGTGTTGAGAACCACTTTGTTCCAGTCAACGAGTCCAGAGTGTCATCGATCCTGGGAAGAGGATAGCTGTCCTTTTTCGTCACATCGTTTAGTTTCCGGTAGTCTACGCAGAACCGCATTTGGCCATCCTTCTTCTTCACAAGTACTACCGGCGAACTCCATGGACTCGCTGATGGTTCAATCACACCACTCTCACTCATTTCTTTTATTATTTGGCTAACAGTTTCACGTTTGGCAAGTGGAACACGCCGAGGAGCTTGACGGATTGGCCTTGCATCGCCAGTATCAATGCGATGTTTCACAACGTTAGTCCTGCCTGGTTTGTCGCCATCCTTGTCGAATATGTTGCAGTATCTTTGGAGAAGTTCCTTAGCCTTGTGCTGGTATTTTTCTTCCAACCCTTCCGTCCATGCATTGATGTCTTCCTCAATGTCATTCTCGCCAATGGAATCGCTTTCAGGTAACTTTTCGCAGTTGAAGATTGCCTCTACTTCTCGACATTGCCCCAGTACAGTTCCTCTTCGGAGTTTGACTGGTGATTTGAACTCATTGAGCACTCGAACTGGGATGCGTCCATCCTTTTGCGTCTTAGCCAGGGTTTTACCAATAAGTACGTCCGGTGTAGAATTTTGGGTCGCTTCAACAACCCACAATTTGTTTGTCCCACAATCTCCATCAATCTTTGCCCACACAACTGCTTCTGACTTCGGTGGAATCTGCTCGCTTTCCTCTAGGATCACTCGCTTGCTGCTGTACGGACCATCATACCCAAACCTAAGGGGCACTTCCATGTTGTCGTACGTCATGATCCTGTTCTTCATGTCGATCTTCATGCCTTGACCAAATAAAAAGTCTAATCCAATGATGACTTCATCCATAATCGCCGCGACTATGAACTTGTGTAACACCGTCACATTCCCTATTGCGACTTTGCATGTTACCTCTCCTACAACTTGGGTGTCCTCACCAGTTGCTGTCCTCAACCTTGCTCCAGGTAATGGCCTTACCTCTTTAGTGACCAAATCTGATCGAATGATGGAATGTGATGCGCCCGTATCCACAGTTAGTACTCGCTCATGTCCGTCCACATATCCACCAACAGTAACGTTGCTCGCTTTTCTGCCAATTCGCGAGACGGAGATTATGGGGCATTCAATTGCGGAAGCCAGCGCGCGCCCCTTGCTGCTGGCTCGTTTTAGTTTAACGACTGATTGGAGTTGGATTCGTCTCCTTCAGCCCTGCGTTTGCGTCCTGCTGAATTGTTGAGCGCACTGAAACTTGCGCTGCAATCGCGGGCGAAGTGGCCTGGCTTTCCACATTTAAAACATTTGCCAGAGCCATGCTTTTTCTCGCCCA